TAATCCAGCCTGACTAGGCAGGCCAGTCTCCCTCCTGCTCAGCAAGATGAGGAACAAGATGGCTCAGACAACAAGCAGAGGGGAAAGAGTCCCAGCCACCCCAAATACCACTCACTGCACAGGCACCAGTTTAAACCTACAGCTGACAGCCACTGTTCACTAGGGAAGAGTCCCACGCAGTTCAACGGGAAGCACTTTGTTACCCTCCGTAGGAACTCATAAGTCTGTTCCAAGCATTTAGGAGGGGTTTACAGTGGCACCTACAAGACTACCTGGTTCACTCCTACAGCAAGAGGGGGGGCTTCCTCACACACTGGGAGGAGAACTTGCCCTGGAGCTGGCAGACTCGCCCGATACCCACATTTGCACCAGAGATCCCCAGTGGTGGAAAGCCCTGCAGTCACCCCCTCCCTGCTACTCCCTTGTCACGACAGCACTTCATCCAGCACCCAGGGTTTGAGCTCCCTGCTAGCAGCACAGTGCCTTTCCCCACTACAGCTGGGACCTACTTTTGCTCACAAGGGTTGCAACACTGAACCAGAGGGTCTTGCTATCAGAATTGCATCAGCACCCCGTATCCACAACATGACGCATGTCTACTGCCAAACCGTTCTGGCCTCATGTTTGCATAAGGAATTCCAGCTCCAAAGCTTCCCTCCCGACCGCTTTCCCTCTGCTTCGGAAGGGATGTAGTCACTATCCACCCCTGCTCACAGCCAGTGCGGTTAGAAAGCAGTTTTGCTTTCTTTTTGGTCGTCTTCCCTTGCGGAGAAGAGGAGGTATGGGGACCGGGCATCAGCCTCCACCATTTGCAATGGCAGAAGGTGCTCATGCCGAGGGGCTGTTAGACCTACGTGTTTAGAAACATGCTCTGGGATGTAGAAGCTACTCACTAGGGGCAAGAAGGTCAGGAGAGGTCGAACCCTGGGGCGAGGCTTGAGCGTTGCCGTTCCAGAATCGGTCACTGTATTCAAGCGATTATTCTCATAGTGCACTTCAATGGTACCACCTGCAAACAAAAGGCATGGAGTTAGCAGTACATCTTACCAAATGCCCCAACTGGGGAAGAGGTCTGGTGAATCCTGGATGGTTTCCTTCCACCGTTGGGGCAAGATCCCAAAATCTGGTCCTCGAGCTGAGGAAGTGGGAGGTGTTTAAGGAGGCCTTAGTAAAGGCAGGATCCCTGGCGCTGGGAATGACATGAGTGCGGGGGCCTGAGCATGATGCCACATGGGTATGATCCTACAGATACTTTATTTGGGGGTAGCTGGCTGTTGGTATATGAGCAGGTCCAGTGGACTCATGGACATATCCCAAGTTCAGTATTGCATGGGCTGTAGCCTGGGTCAAATACAAGCCAGTACCTTGTATGACAGGGTGGGATGTCTGCAGACAGAAAGAACTAGGGTTATGGTTCCCTAGGGAAAAAAGCCAGATTTGGCTGGATTTGGGTAGCAGATGGATGTTTCAGGGAAGCGATGGAGGCAGCAACTACAGGCCCCGTCTCTAGCTTAGCCAGCTCCTGGGCTTCCACCCTCCTCCCGACATCCTCATGCACACAGGGATAGAGGGGCTGCTTCAAAGTGAAGAGCCCACGGCAAGCCCTGCAGTCGGCTGTATCACAACACATCTGGCATTTAATCATGCAGCAGAGAAGGACAAAGAGCCCTCAGTGTCGTTCAGCAGTATCACTGCTCCCTCGACTTGGCAGCTTCTCTGGCAAGGCTGCTTTGTAACGAACACCAAGCCGAGCAGCAAAGGACTGGCATGCTGCAGTGCGCTCAGCCGTGGGCTTTGCCAGCAGCCAAGATGTTTGTGTTTTTGCAGTTTCCTCATGCACTTGAGTGCCAGAAACTGCACTGAGGGGGCTTTGGGAACATGCAGATGGACCCCCATGCAGGGGCCTGTCAGCAATAGGGACTGGAACTACGTCTGGTAGACCTAGAAGCAGCAGCAGCCTTTATCAGCTGTTAGCCAACTCCAATCTCACTGCACAGTCCAGCCCCAAAAGAGCAAAGGTGCATTTCACAGACAGAAGTGCTGCTGCTGTAGGGAAGAAGTGAAACCTCTGCACAAAGGATCTAATCAATGAAGGGAGTCCAGGTTTGAGCTTTCAGACACTTGTACTAAGCCAAATTCCTAGCGACTCCAGCTTTACAGAAAGGCTGGCTCCACTGGAGTTATCTATGCAGGGAAATTGAATGTGGCAGTCCAAACCATGCCTCTGCTTCAAGGCATTGCTCCTTCTAAACCGATCATTGTGCACAGGGCAAATGGGCAGGGAGCTGCACTGGCTTGGGTGGACAGGAATGTGATGCAAGCCTCATCTAGTCGTTGGCTGTAGGAGTTTAGTTTGGCCATGGGAATGCACGTATTTAGACCCAGCTGCAGGGAGGCTGTCATGAAACAGCTGGATTGCACGCAAAACCTTGGTTCTTGCAATTAGGGGACTCCGAGTTGAACTTTCCAACGTCTGCTGGGAGATAAAGGACCCTGCAAAACACTTCTGGTCTTCAAGGTGTAGAAGAGAGATACAGACTACCTCCGAACTGAGATACTGTCATCCCTGTTTTCCAGTTATGGAAACAGGGGCCACGACTCACCCCTGGCATCTGATGCTGCTGGGCAGAGACAGGAGGAAAACCCGGGAGTTCCTGCTCTTGGTACTGTGCTCTCACACCTCTTCAAATTGTTTCTTCTGACAATGAATAGAGTCTATACATTACTTCAGTGCCACTCTTTGTGGGATAACAGCATGAATTAACAGGCAGAGGCACCAAAGGATGCAGCCCCACCTTTGCCAGGAGAGCTGCAGAAAGGGTTAGCAAGCAAACCAACATGGAAGGAAAGCACAAGGCTTCTGAAAACAGCGGGGAGGGAGGGGTGAGAAAAGATAACACCAAATAAATTCCCAGGCAAAATTAAGGCTGCCTTGACTGAAGGGTTTTGACAGCAGTTTCAGTGGGAGAGTTTAGCTCGTGAAAGCATGTCAAGGGCCATTTCCGTCTGGGAGCAGGATGCTCAGCTCACGGTGCAGAAGGATCCCCAGTTCAGCTCTGAGGCATGGGAGAGGCAGCTGCTAGTTGCGTTTCCCTTGCCACAGCACACTTGGACCAGAGAACAAGGCTTGTGCAGTCTGTTTAAACAAGCAGAAGGGATGGGCTGCATTTTTGGTAAGCCTTAAAAACCTCATTGCCTCAATCACCCAAGCAGGATTCCCCTGTCAAGGAGGTGACACAGATTAATTCCGTGTGGGCAGAGTTGTTCAGCCCATTGTAGCCTCAGCAACAAGTGTGTGACACCCACACTGGCTCCCCTGCACCTTTGGTATATGTCCCCCATCTAGTCCTGCCCCTAAATGAGGAAACCCACAGACGATGGGCTGAACATCTCTGGTGGAAGCAACGTGAGACCTGTGCCAGGTAGTTAGCTGAAGGGAACAGGTCGCCTTCCAGCAGGCTCCTGCCACAAAGTGCTATTTGCGTGAGGTTGTATCACCAAGTACAAACATATGTTTAGAGCAGTAGAGAGCAAGTAAATTGTATCTTTCAAAAGCAGTGAAAACAAAGATAATTTCTCTTTCCCCAAGGCCTCATGTAGTTTGAGGTTTACAGTATTCGGAGTACAGCAGTCTGCTGCTCTCATCACTATAGTATACATCTTCTGAAGTTGGCAATCTCTTTTGCACAGAGGTCTCTACAAGGCAGCCCTCCTCTCTTCATAAGATAGAAACTCCTACTCAAGGTCCCCTTTCCCCCTGAACCAGCAAAAAACACCCAAAAAAAGAGTCCAGGACAACAGGGCTTGGTCCTGAGCCACTAGACCATGGAGACTACTGCTGCTATCTTCAATGGAATTACAACACCTTGCACAAATGGGTGAAATTGAAGGCCTGGTCTTTCAAAGTGATGGCAGAGGAGGTTCAGAGAAGCCTAGAGGAGTTGAGGATATTGCACATTGCAGGACTGACCCCCAGAAAAATGAATTGCATGCACACAGTGCCGAGGCAGGCAGTCACTGGTCTAGCCAAAGCACTTCAGTGCCTCATAATTCACCTATCTTACAAAGCAGAGTTCCTGCATGGTACCTGGATGGAGTGAACTCCTGAAGTACTTTCTAGGTTAGATGATGGATGTGGAGAAAGCCATTGGCAGGGCTGGTCAGGCATTTTTGAATGGAAGTGCATGGGAAATCGAGAGGAAGAAGAATTTCAAGGAGCGTGTCTGCGTCACCTCAATCATTACCACCCCTCTGCTGAGCTCGGGTAGCAGCTTGGACTTGGGGCCGACCCTAACACAAGCTCACCACTTGCAAGGTGCACAGCCCTCTTAGCAGGGGAAAGAACCGGACTGGTCAGTGCACACCAAGTCACGCAATCTTGACTTTGAGCAAGGCACTAAGGCAATGAGAGCCTGGATTAAAGACAATAATGCTTTGCCCCAAGCAAGTTATTAGGAATTTGCCACCTTTGTAGTATCCCTAATTAAGAGACCTGAACACTTTTAATTAAAACAAACAAACAAAAAAAACAAATAGAACTGAATAAAATGCTTGTTCTTGCATCTCCTTTGCTGGATGAACAGACCTTTCCTAGAAGACCCTCAGCCACCAGCTGCTCAGCCTGGTGTGCTGTGGTTTCCTGGAGAAGGGTGCTCATTCTCTATCTAGAGCCATTGGCCCTAGGGCTGATCTTGGGGAAATCACAGTATGCTCAAGAGGTATTTGCAGGTGTAGCACAGCCTTGTCTTAATGAAAGTCCTCCTGGAAACCACACCCTAGTGTCAGTCGTGTGACGTGATGGAGGCTCACCACAACCCCGCGACGGAACGTGAACTCCGCCGCTGCCTCAAGTACAACAGTCCTAGCTGTAGCTATAAAAAGTCATCTGACTCGGGGAGTGCGGGGGACTAAATTCAGGAATCTCTGAGTCAGTGGCATGCACAAACCTACACCCATGGCAAGTTGCTTAACCTGTGTTTACTTTGTAATGCGTCTGATGTAAAGCTAAAGGTGGGGATTAGCATGAGCAGTGCAAGTCTTAGGAGATGCTCCTGAAAGCGGGCAGGGTACAAGGATGGGCTTTCATCAGGTAGAATAGAGTATTGAAGTGCAAGGGAGCTAGGGAGGCCTGCTCTAGCACCCTCACTCATGCAAGCAGGCTTTAGAGACCTGGATTTTGTGTTACAAGCTTGCTGGGCACTGGCAGACCCTTACGCCTGGGAGCAACTCTCTGTCACAGCATATGCTTACAGGACCGCAGCAATATTTTTATACGCAACCCCTTTATACAACAAAAATCCCTGCACAGGACAAGCATTGGGCTCCCTCTTTGGCTTAAAGAAACAATTATGAAGAAGCAATTCATTTTTAAACACAGTCATGTGAAACTTGTAGTGCTACCCCTTTCTTTTTTATCCGCATCACCCCAGCACATAGCCATGCAGCAGTTCTGCAGTGGACACTAATTCAGTGCCACAGCTAAGCTGACAGCAACACTTCCGCTGGGGATCTGGAATGCTTTATTGGGCACTTTAAAAATAAAAAAGTAAAATCCCTGGGTGTAATCCACCTTCTGCTGTGATTTGGCTCAGCTCAATTAATACTAGAAGTCTGGCACCATCCCACCTGAACCTTAAGGGTGTTGTGCAGTAGTTAAAGCCACAAAGATACACACATACAACCAAAAGAATAAATATGCCTTTAGGTTTCCCAGTTCCTCAAAAAAAAAACAAAAACAAAAAACAGGGCACCTGCAGAGGAAGTCTGTGAAAAGCTCAGTAAAAACCCACCACGAGCAAGCAAGTTACATTAGGAGCCAGTCACAATCCTGACAGCTTAGAGAAGTCTAGGAATCTTACATTGATCCACTTTTTAGTCTGGATTCTTCTTCCCGGGGTTAGTTTTGTGGTTCTTATTAGTTACTAGACTTGTACAGCTTAGGAAAAAGGCCAGTCTTCCAACAGGGTTCACCACTTGGTGCTGTCTCAGAGCCACAGGTTCAAACACGTTTCTTTTTAATCCACTTGGGCAGATCAAATACCACCTATGCTTTCCCAGCTGCAGCAATGATTAACCAGCTCCAGCAGAATTCATGCTCCCCTAGCCCATGATCACTACCCTGCTCCTAACCTACCCAAGTACTGTACAGGTTGAATAAGCCACAAGCAGGAAGCAAACCTGGCCAGGTAGCACCAGCAGGGAAGAGTTACTGCTCAGTCCATTTCCCCCAAAAGCCCGAATTCAAGAGTGAAGATACTAACCAGAGCCATGGCGGCCCTCAGAGCTGACCTCCTGCGTGAAGATCCAGGGGGGGTTGGTAGCAAAGAGGGACGTGGTGGTGTCGTTGGCATGCTTCTTCCCAAAGAGCCTGCTAAACGTGCCCTGCACAGAATGATGTTTTTTCATCTTTGCCAAGATCCTTTGCTCTCGTCTCTAATGTTCCCCCTAGCAAAACTTACTTCCAGTCCGCTCCAGTACCCTCCAGTTGAGGCTAAGACCAGGCAGGAGCTAGTCTGCGGAGCTGACTTTCAGCTGCTTTACCTGAGCAGGTAGAGGGCTGGCTGTTCCTACCTGGCCACACCCCAAGCAGCTCCCTCCGTCACATTCCTCCCTTCCTGCTACAAGGAGCCATTGTTAAACCCTCCATCTCCAGTCCCTGCTGCTTGGGAAGCTTTTTCTGCTCTGACACCTCCTACAGCATCTCCAGCCGGCCTAAAACCAAATGTACTTGCCCTCTTTCCTCCTGGTTTGGAGACCTAAGGTAATAGCCACAAGTTACAGGCAGCTGCTGCATGTATTTCACAGCCTACTGAGCCTTTCGCATCCAAGGAGGCTGAGGCTCTGAAGACAAGTAACATAAGCACAGCCAGTCGGTTTGGGGTGTTGCTATTATTGATTAAACATCTCAGCTGGGGAAGTGCCAGATTATTAAGGGTAGTTAGGCACCCAAGGACCATGGCAGCAGGTGCTAGGCACCTGGCCCCAAGTTGTCTGCTAACTAGCTAGATCCCTGAGCCAGGGAGGCAGATGCAAGTATTCAGAGGCAGTAGTTCTTCTATTGCCGTCTTTCCCCTTCCTTGTTTGTCATCTGTTCTCTATACTCTAAATCCTTTTAGCCCTAAAGTGTCTTCACTTGCCTGTTGGTACAGTGCCTAATACAGCAGGGAGTTAACCCCTGTTTGAGACCTGGAGGAGCTACTGCAATAGAAATAAATAGCAGCCCTTGGGGGAAGCCAGTACTTTGATTATTTTGCTGCCTGATATGTTTTACCTAAGGTAAAACTGGTCTCCGGTGATTAGCTGTAGCACTAAGAGCCAAGGCCCTGATCCTGCAGCCTGAGCCCTGGCTCTGAGGAGGGCCTGTGGCCCAGAGTGCGTGGCTCTGGGCATAGCCAGAAGGGTCTTTGCACCACGGGGCCTCACTGTGATGTAAAAGCTGAGCGCTGTAAAATGTAACTTGCTTCCAGGAGGCAGCTCGCTGCGTTGTGGAGTACACAGAGGTGTGTTTGTGTCCATGTCCAGCGCTGCAAACCATTTTACATGTGGCACCCATAGAAATTGTGAGTTAATCCTCCAGCTCATACTAATCCAACCGTGGAGTCCCAGAGCATTTTACACCCTGCAGGAACTGTTCAAACATTAACTCTGAACCCAACGTTGTGGAACAAGGTACATGAGCATCAGCCTCATTTGGACTCTCAGGAGTTGAAATTATGGGGGTGTCAGGGCTGAGGACACACACCGCTGTCAGCTCATGGGTCCTGCAGCCCTGCCTCACTACAAGTGACAAAAACATTAGAAAAAAGCATGCAAGGCTTTTCTGGGATTTTGAATTCAGGCAATGAGCTGCAAGCAGTAAGTGCTGATGGAAAGGTCTGGTAATGGAAACCTACAGCAAGTGTTTGCATTCAGAATTGTCCAGCACCGCTTAAACAGAGGGGAAATTGCTAGAAATGGTTCTGCACAACATTAGCTTCTCTCTGTGGGATCAAACAGGAGTCCAAAGGAAGCAGCTCAGGGCTCACTGTATGCTCTGTCGTCCTTTTCCACTCCACATAG